TCTAAAAGTTCCTTGGCTAGTTACCAAAAAAAAGTAAAAAAAAAGGAGAGGTGGTGGGTTTTTTATGGGCTAGTTTATTAAAGTCCAGAAACTTCTCTTGGTGAGCTGTGGAAATCAATTGATCCTTGCCTTGTTTTGCTTTTTTGTATACTTGGTATAAGAGTGGAGTTGGGCTACATAAATCCTTGGTCTTATACCGGTTTTCTGAGTTTGATGTTTTAAGCCAATTGAAATAGAAAAATTAGTAGTTTTTCAATGGCTTAAAATGAAAAGCCGTGGTTGACTCTTAAGCAAGGGTCTTCAAACTTTTTAAACAGGGGGCCAGTTCACTGTCCCTCAGACCGTTGGAGGGCTGGACTATAGTTTTTTAAAAAAACTATGAACAAATTCCCATGCACACTGCACATATCTTATTTTGAAGTAAAAAAACAAATGTTTTCGGCGGGCCGCATGTGGCCCTCGGGCTGTAGTTTGAGGACCCCTGATTAAGAGGAATACATGGGCAAAATAATTGTAGTGACTGTGAATCTCAGTTCACAGGTCTGTGTGTGAAGCATTGTTGTTCTTTTTATTTACTGTAAGTGAACTCAACCTCTGATTGTGAGTCTGTGCTGGGTTAGTGGGAAAATAATGTTTGAAGCCTTTCTGAACTCCCTCCCTCACTTCTCTCTCCCAGAGGGCCACAAATGAGAAAGGTCTACATTAGAAGGACTCGTGAGCAAGGAGTCATTTATCAGTTTTCAGGGTCTGTACTTGAATGTCTCTATTCTGATGGCTTCTTCCTAGTTAGTGATTACTGGGTTTTCACAAAGTAAAAATCTGAAAGACTTGCTGGCATCTCTGCTGTTTGCCCTACCTTGCCCTTCCCTGGGGCAATGCCACAGAACCAAGTCCTGAAATGAGGACAGAGTTGTGGGGAGGAGCGGGAGGGATAACTAGGGAGGAAAAGTTAATGCTGCAGAATAATATTTCAACCACATAATCAGGTCAGTTTGACAAAGTGCAGCCTTGCAAATGGGGAAGTGGCCTTGGTTCCCCTTGAAAGTAAACTATGCAATGAGTATCAGTGGGCAATGTAAAACACTTAAAAAGTACTTATTAAAATAATTTGTGAGTTTACAAAATTATGTGTTTCTCTTTATGGATTTTAATAACAAAATTAGAAATGTACATACACAGGCATTTGTTCACTAATATCTTTTGAACACATAAAATGTGCCAGTGGAGAACAAAATATACTGGTCCCTGGCCTTGTGTAGCATATAGTCCTATGGACAGAATAAACATTAGACTTTGGAATAAAACTGACTTATTTTCAAATCTCAGGCTACTGACTAGAAAAAACATTTCTCAAAAATAAGAAGTAAAAGTATTTTGTTCATATGGTTGCTGAGAAGATTAAATAATGCAAAGTAAGTAAAGCAGAAGACACCGTGCCCATAACACAGTACTTGGTAAATTATTAAATCACGAACATTTCTTTTGAAATGTCTTCCTTAAACATACAGTTGATTGTTTTCTCTATTGTCTTAGTCTTCTATTCTCAGCCTAGAATCAGAGTATTAGAATTATTTGACACAAAGTATCTAAATTGCATATGTTAATTTCTAGACGTTATTGGTACTGGAAATTTTCAAGTGAGATTTTAGATAATAAAAATTTTATGTAATAAAATGTTTTTTTTCCTCACATTAGGGTCATGTTACTTTGTATCAAGATAGAAAAATTCCGTACATAAAAAACAGTTTCAATAGCACTGAAGAAAAATTAATTAGTCAAGTCAAATGGACACTCTTTACCTTTTCTCTTCCTCCCACCCTCACCGGCATTTTTAGTCCATAATATTGGAATACAAGACTATAATTTAAATAATTTAAAAGACCTAATTAGCAAAATGTGCAAATGTAAGACTCAGTTATGTACTCTTGTAAAGGAAATAAATGAGTCCTTTATTAACTATGACTTTAAAGATGTGTATATTTAATAATGAATTTCTCTTGAGTCAAATGGCTGACTTGTAGTGTATTTCCCAGACTTGATGAAATATTCAGCTGCCATCTTCATACTTTTTTCTTCATCAACAACATTTAGGTACAGGAGAAGTGAAGCTCAGAAGAAAATGGCCTTAGGAAAAATCATGGCCTGGAGACTGAGCAACAAATCTCTCTCTCTCTCTCTCTCTTCCCTCCCTCCCTCCAATCTAAGGCCTCTATGACACTAAGACGATTTATATTCGGTTCACTGTATTGTTCTAGAAGCTTCTGGTCAAATACCCACAGACTACAAAGGAAACAAGCAGCATAAAGGAGAAATTCTGTGTATTTAGCTTGCTTAAAATTTTTTAATAGATGTAAAGAAATATCACCAAATCTTTTATGTGTTTGTTTCTACATCGATTTTATATTCACAATTTCCAGTTTCAAATTATTCAAAGGACTATTTTTTTTAATTTAAAATATCCTGTTCTGTCAAGTTTAGGAGCTTTATATCAGAGCTGACATAAGAATAACAACAAAAAAAACCCGCATTTTTTTTGTACCTTTATGTAGTTAAAATATGATGGAACGAGGCATCAATTGGCTCAAGACGTCTTAAAATATCTAGCATTTGTTGGAAGTCACCCATGCACAGATTTAGCTCAAACAGAATAAACACTTTAAGGCGCATTACAGAAGTTTCTATTTCCAATGGAAATGTACATGTATTTACATTAGGAAGCCATAAATACAGTTTGTGTGAGCATGAAAATATTTGCATGTGATAAATAATACTGCCAAATAGCCCTGAAACAGTTATTATTATTATTTTTGAAGTAAGTAAATCTCCTGCCAAGCCTGGCCTTGTAGAAGAACGTTTAATAACGAAAAGCAGTGGTTTGGTTGAGACACGAAGGGATAGGCTACAGTTTGGATGTCAGTTTTCTCTGTTCCGAGTTCATAACTTCAGTACTTGGCGTATTTTGCCGTGGTCGCCCCCACCTGCAGTTTTGTTCTCTGAAGTTTCGGTTTTCTGTCTGAAAATATTAAACGGAGAACCGCAGAAATAGACAATGCCTGATACATTGCGTACTGTCCCGAGTGGGGTGATAAAATCTCGCGAGTCGCGCTCGGCCCTGTCCTGGACGTGAGTCCTGCTCACGTCAGCGTGCCCACGCTGCAGACGCGCACGTCAGCGCAGCGTGCCCACGCTGCAGACGCGCCCACGTCAGCGTGCCCTGCTCACGTCAGCGTGCCCACGCTGCAGACGCGCCCGCCTTCAGGCTCCGGGATCAGGCCGACCAGCAGGTGCGGCCGAGCTGGGCCAAGTCACCCTTATTTTCTTAATGACGACCCCAAAGTGTGAGAGCGGCGATTCTGGCAACTCGGATATGCCAAAGAGAAGCCGTGAAGTGCTTCCCTTAATTGAACAGGTGAAAGTTCTTACCTTAACAAGAAATGGGAAAAAAATTGTATGCTCAGGTTGCTAAAATTTAGGGTAAGAACTAACCTCCCACACGAGCTGTGAAATTGGGAGAAAGAAACAAGAAATTTGTGCTAGTTTTGCTGTCGCAACTCAAACTGCGGAAGTTCTGGTCACAGTCTGTGATAAGTGCTCCGTAAAGATGGAAAAGGCCTTGCCTTTGTGGGACGGAGGGTCCTCCTGGCGACCCATCCATCCCGGCCTCATGCTCCGCCACAGCCTGCGTCACTCACCTCACTTCGTCTCATCACGCCGGCCTTGCGTCATCTCACAGCATCACAAGAAGCGGGTGAGTACAGCACAATAAGTTATTTTGAGAGAGAGACCATGCTCACATACATGTTATTACAGGGTTTTGTTATAATTGCCCTATTTTATTATTAGTTACTAGAAGCCGGGTGTACAAATTCATGCACCAGTGGGGTCCCTCACCTTGGCCTGCGGGAATCAGACGAAACTGGCTCTCCAACATCCCCCGAGGGGTACCGGATTGTGAGAGGGCACAGGCCAGGCCGAGGTACCCCACCCGTGCATCATCGGCTGGGGAGGGACTAGGGAGGTTGGCCAGCTGGAGAGGGATGGAGAGAGGGCCCCAGGGCTGTCTGGCCTGTCTCAGTCCCGATTGGCTGGACCCCGGCAGCAAGCTAACCACCATACTGTTTTCTATAGTGGCTATGTTGCCAGTGGAAATCTATAGTGGCTATGTTGCCAGTGGAAATAAGATTCTTCCACAGGTCACGGGAAATGAATTTCAGGGACAAATGCATGGGAGGATTTGAGGTATCATGGTAAGATTATTTGAGTGAAAACAAAGGAAGGGCTTAGGTACACTGACTCATCCACAACTCTTTTTTATTTTTTTGCTCTCTCAAACATCTTTATTTCATAACTAGAGGCCCAGTGCATGAAAATCGTGCACAGGGCGGGGGCTGGGGGAGTCCCTCCCTCAGCCCAGTCTGTACCCTCTCCAGTCTGGGCCATCCCTCTCGCAATGTGGGACTGCTGGCTCCTAACCACTCGCCTGCTTGCCGGCCTGATCGCCCCCTAACCGCCTCTGCCTGCTGGCTTGATCGCCCTAACTGTCCTCCCCTGCAGGCCTGATCGCCCCCTAACTGCTCTCCCCTGCTGGCCTGATCGCCCCTAACTGCCTCTGCCTCGGCCACTGCCACCATGG